TTTTTTTTTTTTTTTTTTTTTTTTTTTTTTTTTTTACAAGTAAGTAGTACTTCTCGTAAAACTCTCGTATTCAGGGCTGTGGGATAAAAGGGCATCGTCTCGTATTCAGGGCTGTGGGATAAAAGGGCTACGATGCGTTGAGAATTGCTTCTATAGCTGGCGATTGTACTTTTGCTTGCGTCTGTGAAACCGCAGGCATTCAGAAAATTTACGATCGAGGTACCTCTGTGACAGTCTTCGTGTATCATCAAAGTCTGTTGGCAATCTTCTGGACGGAGTTCGCCCGTTGCAATGGCTGAAGAAAGAGGATTGGAGACGCAGAATCCACCACATGTTTTTCAGTCAAGCAACGCTTCTTTGCTCCGCGATTGTGGCACGTCCTTTCCTCAGGTAATGGCATCCTTTCCACATTTATCTCTAGGCTGGTCGATTCCGCCATTGTGGAGCCGACCCACTGGAACAGAAGAGGGGGAAGTCGGCGGGATTGATGTTGGCTGTGTGGCTGTTGAGTCTGTGAAAGAGAGAGCAAACGACTACATCAGTGCTCTTCCAGATGAGGTGGCATTGCTCGTGTTGTCCAGAGTTTGTGACGCGAAGGCCTTGGTTAGGTGTATGGCAGTCTCCAAGCGGTTTCAGCAGCTGGCACGACAAGTCGATAGAATCCATGTGGCGTTTTCTCGAGTGACAGAGCTGAAGGACTTCTTGTGCAACAACGTCCGCCGGTTTCAACGGCTCCATCATCTGCATGTCCGAAAAGCGTCGAAGCATCAAAGCGATGCGCAACCGCCGCCGCCGCCGAACAAGTCCCCTTCGTCATGTTGCTTCTGGGCTGAGGTTGGCGCCTCCGTGGACAGACTAGTCATTTTCAGTGGTTCTACAACTGCCATCCCTCAGCACGTTCCGTCCTTATCGCCCCAATCATGGGCCTGCAGGGCGGATAAAATGATGTGGTGCAGTCGCAAGTCCTTTTCGCCTCCCAACCCTGCGAAAGGCTGCGACAGCCATCGTCATTCCTGCGTGGATGACGAGACAATAAGGCGCATTCGCAGAATGGTCTTGAAGGTTGCGGGCGCCGTTGCCGGAACATGGAGTTGGTGTCAGCCGATCGTCAAGTCCCTCCTCTCCTGTCAGCCGAATCTCAAGAGCTTGACGCTCGAGCAGATAACCGAGGAACAAGGTCTAATACATATGGACGAGGAGCGCATCGCGCAATTCCGAAGTTCATTGCTGAAAAAGACAAAAGAAGAGTTCGATCGCGACCACAGCCTGTGCGAAGAGGACGACTACTCGGTGGAGGACTTTAACTCCTTGCTCGCGGACCTGCTGAGAGGCGTGTTACATATCTGGGGCCTACCAGGGTGTCACATCACTTCAGCGTTCCCGGGACCACCCCTCGGGGGCGGGGAAGCTGCGTTTATTGTCCTTGCAGCAACTGAGCTGGACAAGAAAAGTGGTCGCGGCAATTCGGGAGCACCTACAAAGATCTTTGAGGGAATCATTCAGAAGATGATGGAAAACAAGGCCGGCTGGAATGATTTTACTTGATGAGAGATGAGCTTGAAAATCAGTCGGTGGCTGACTGCCTCGGTGGTGATAATGGCACCCCACCGTGGTCCGTGGTTGGGAGCCACCCGTTGAATCAGATGGCCACGGTCTTTCTATTCGTGGGGGCCAGCACGCGCTTGATGATCTTGCTTTCCTCCTTCGAGTCCTTTCTTCTTTTTTTTTCCATTTTCAACCGCGAGAGTTATGTCTTGTCGATCTTAGACAATCAATCGGGTTCTCTGGGACTCACTGTAGCTGAGAAATTAGTGTGTAGTATGTAGTATGTACTCTTTATGCAGCGTCTATTGCACTGCAAACATTGCATTAAGAATGTGGTGTAGGACACCTACGTCCTTGCGAAATAGCAGGCTTTCTATGTAAAAAATCAGTTCCCTGAAGTACTTCCATTTTTTATGAGGTAGTGCAAACATTGCATTTAGAATGGTGTTGGGTGCAAACGTCTTTGTAAATAGCCACTGTCTACGTCAAAAATCCTGTAGCAACCTTTTTATTCAAATGACAATGTTCAATTCAGGGAACAATCACATTTTAAGCTAGCTACAGGTTGTCCTCTCTCTCTCTCTCTCTCTCTCTCTCTCTCTCTCTCTGTTGGGTGCAAACGTCTTTGTAAATAGCCACTGTCTACGTCAAAAATCCTGTAGCAACCTTTTTTTTCAAATGACAATGTTCAATTCAGGGAACAATCACATTTTAAGCTAGCTACAGGTTGTCCTCTCTCTCTCTCTCTCTCTCTCTCTCTCTCTCTCTCTCTCTCTCTCTCTCTCTCTCTCTCTCTCTACTGCGAATGTGTGTGTGTTGTACATTGTAACGATAACAACCCCTTTTCCCACCCAGATGACTAGATACAAATGTGATACAAACTGTTTGTGACCTTAGTTGTTTCTTCCACATGCCATGCAAACTGTCACCATAAATATTCCTTTCCCACCCGAATGCATGTGTCCAGAATTGAAACAAACAGTTTGGCCTCAAAAAATCTTCGACAGCAGACATCTTGAATGAACTGCACAAAAACTGTGATGTGTGTGTGTGGCAAATTGCCACCATAATAACCCCTTTTCCATCCAGATGAGTACACTCAAATCCGACACAAACTACTTGGCGTTAGTTTCGTCTACATGCCAAATGTCACCATAACGACCCCTTTCCACGCAAACAAATAGTATCGAAACAAATGGTTTCACCTCAATGAAAAGGTCCGTGAGCTGCACAGCATTCAAGTGGCAACTGCAAGATACACACGATGTGAGAATTCACCAAAACTTAATTACAAAAAAGAACTTGCTATAAAGGTTTCTCAAGGTCGGTGGGTATGGCCGCCAGCAACAACGACAACAGGTAGGTCTCTCTCTTTGTCTGACTACTACTGCAGCGCTCCCGCATGAGCCATGAGCTGAATGAAGACACCATCTTGTTCCTGTCGTTCATCGCCTTTTTGTGTCTGCGGCTCTTCCTCCTGACGTTCATCGCCTTTTTGTGTCTGTGCCTCTTGCTCCTGACGTTCATCGCCTTTATGTGTCTGCGCCTCTTCCTCCCACGTGATTTCGGAAATCGTCCTGCCAGTCCGTGACTCGGCAGACTAAGATTCGGTCTGTCGTGGCCTGTCACTGGGACTGAACTGCAATGGGACCGGGACTGGCCATGCGGCGACGGCCAACATATTGACTTCTAGAACCTATGTACTCTTCTCACTGGTCTCTTATGACTCTTATCCTAGCAGAGGGGGACACAGTACCGGGCCGGTACGGTACCCCTACCTGAAGGTTCTACTTCGGCCCTATGGTACAAAAGCAAGGGGGACACAGTACCGGGCCCGTACCGTGGCAGCACATGAATCCTTCCACTCCCGGCCGTTGTAAATTCAAGGCCGTTCGACAAGTACTATTTCTGTTAGCTGAATCCTCAAGCTGCCTTGTGAAATTGACAATGCCTATTAAGGCTATAATAATAATAACCGGGCGTTCTTTTTTTTTTCTCACTAGAAAGGCCCGGTGCCCAAGGCAAATTACATCAGCACAGTAGCCAATAGCAAGGACAAATGGGTTGTCCCGCCCCACCGGGAGCTCGGAGCCCCGACCCTGTATACACAGTCTGCGCACCCATCCCATCCCTCGATGCATCCAAGCACAAAGCCCACTCAAACAGCAGACACAGACCACAAACGACCGCTACCCAAAAAACCCATGCAGGACACAGTCTATTTGTGGGGAGCAGCACGCGCTGGGAACCGGGGGCACTAAAAAAGGCACCAAATGCAAAAGAAGAAGACACTCTATCTACTCCGACCAACAAAGGGTGAGCTGCTCAATGTTCCTGAAACCAAGCAACAGCCTTGGCCGGCGACGAAGCAAAGGAAACTTTTCTCTGCTGCTTCTGGCGGTCCCCGGTCAACGTTGATGCCTGTTGCCCCGGTCGTAGTGCCCAACACTACGACGGCCGGCGAAGATGGCGACCATCGATGTCTCCCCTTTTTACATCGAGGTCTTCCCGTGGTCCTCCATATGTAAGTAGCAAGGCTTGTGAAATTGCTTCTTCTGGCAGGGATTCCTTCGACTCGTCCCACACTAATTCACCGGCCGCTATGATCTTCTATGGGGTACGGTGCATATAAGCGTGGTCTATCATTTTGAACTAGGTGTGCCTTTTTTTTTTTTTTTTTAACAAGTGCTCCAGTCTATTCGTGGGGAGCAGCACGTGGTGGGGAACCGGGCCCAGCGTCCCATATCGAATTATACAGATCATTGAGAACATTTGAGAGTGTGCCTGATATCCCCGCAACCTTTTCCGGATGTATGATGTATCCCAATATTCAATTTGTACATGGGACGCTGGACCCGTTTTCCAGCAGGTGATGCCCCCCACCAATAGATGGGGCCTTCTCCCCCCAGGTGCTAGCGGCGTCTGCTCTTATCAGCACCACTAGCAATGGCAGGGGTGTGTTTGAAAAAAAAAAAAAAAAAAAAAAAAAAAAAAAAAGATATCCCCGGTTGACTTGTTTTCACTCTTTCCCACAGTTAAAACCACCAGTACACCCGGGGCCAAATGTACGAAAGCCTAAACTTGAAATTCGCCGACCCGGAAAGCGACCGCGACCGGTACCAACACTTGGAAAATTGAGGTTGGCACTGTTGCTGGCCCCTCTTGGATTGAGTGCTGGTTCTACTGCCATCACATGGGCTGAAGGAGAGGCTTAAGTTATTTCAGTGTTTTCACTCGTTTGCCACCCAAAACCATCAGATTCGTCCAGGGCGGTCGTAATTGTGGACAGCAACAGTGAATGTATGGATCTGTCCACAATTTCCATCAGATTCGTCCACGGCGGTCGTGATTGTGGACAGAAGATCCATACATACAGGAAATTTCAAGTGTGAGAATTCCCTTCAAAGAAACCGGATGACTGGAAAAAAAAGAAAAAAAGAAAAAAAAAAGAAGAAGAAGAAGAAGTGGAAGAGGATTCCGACCTGCCTCCTTCCTGTCAGCCTCCTGCCTCTCACGGCATGGAGACTTGAGAAAAGTGACTTCGAAAAGGGCCTACAAAAGAAAAGGGAAAACAAAAGAGAAAACTCATGCTTTTTTAATACTAAGCTCTGGACATGGGCGTGGGCGGATTCATTCACAGCCGTCCGCAATTGTAGTCAGATGCATTCACGAAGCTGTAGCTGTAGCCAGGAAAAAAAAAAGGGCAGACACACGTCATCAGATTCATCCAGGGCTGTCCACAATTGCAGTCGGATGCATTCACGTAACTGTAGGGAGAGTACGTCGTCGTGAACATGGGCGTCACTGCACTAACTCTCCAAATTTGCAAAACGAGACTGAATCCACCACTAGAACATGGAAAGATACATTGCCATCGTTTTTGTCTTTTGCACATTTGGAGAGTAGTGCAGCGAGGCCCCATATCGGGACTGGAAATTCGATTCTTCTTGTTTTTTTTTTCTTCTGGAGATTCGATTCGTTGGGCCCAGAAAGAGGCGGCCCGAATCGTTTCCGCCCCTCTCACGGCAGGGAGGCAGGCACTGACAGGAGCGAGAGCACACTAAGGGCCTAGTTGCACTGGGGACTGGAGATTCCATTCTTCTTTTTTTCCTCTGGAGATTCGGTTCGTTGGGCCCAGAAAGAGGCGGCCCGAATCGTTTCCGCGCCCTCCTCTCACGGCAGGGAGGCAGGCATTGACAGGAGCGAGAGCACACTAGGGCCTACAGTCTTCCCCCGAATACAACGTACGGTCATTATAGCTGAATTTAGACTGAAAGATGCACCAAATTCAGCTATAATGACCGTGCGCCAGGTTTGGCTAGACGGCTTTGGGCCCAGAAAGAGGCAACCAAACCACATTCTTCCTTTGGTTGCACTTACTCGCCAGACAAATTTGGCGAATGAAAAATATGTCGGACGGCTCGTCACAATGTCGATACAAGTTGTGGCGAGTGTTTTCGGTTCCCCCACCTGTGCACGGCGGTTTGTGGAGGGTGGTGGTCCTCGGACCTCTCCACAAAACAACTTGCTGGAGAGTGCACGGCTTCACGAGTTGACATCAGGTAGACAATTTTTTAAAACTCTTCTGTAGAAGAAATATAGCTGCGAGTAGGTGCAACCAGGCCTCCAGTTCGACACGATTCTCATTTTTTTCACTGTCCAGACTCCAGAGTCTCCACCTATCCGTCACGAATTGTATCGCCTATATGCAGGAGTGCAAAGGAATATGATTATGAACTTCATTCTTGAAAAAGTTGGAGAAAAAACATTGGTGGAGTATCTAGTGCTGAAGACTGAAGACCCATTCTTACCATTTGTAGAGACAATGGATGCTTTTTTTTTTTTTTTTTTTTAATGGATCCTAGCCAATGCAGAACAGGGGTTGTACTACAGCAGGATGCTTTTTTTATTTTTTTAATGGATGACGGCAAGGGCTATAAACCTGAAGAGTTCATTTCAAAGAGAGATTTTGTCTTAAAAAAAAAGTAGAAAACTCTAATTGTTTTTTTTCTTCTTCTTCTTTGAAAAAGCAGCGTCCTTGCGAGGAGAGGTGATAAGAGCACCACCCCCTCCTAGCAAGAGACCTGGATGCTCCGATCTATTGGTGGGGGGAAGCAACTGCTGGAAAACGGGTCCATCGTCCCACTGCACATCTGAAGTCCTGCCAGCATTGACTGCCCTGTTGTCGGGGATTAACTTTGCCCTGGAAAAAGGAAGAATGTGGCTTGAGAATAGCAAGCTTTTGTGTGTGTGTGTGTGTGTGTCCATGCACATCACCCTCCTCCCTCCTCCTCCATCCATGCTCATCGCCCTCCTCCCTCTTCCTCCAGCCTCCAAAAGCTTGCTATTCTCAAGCCACATTCTTCCTTTTTCCCTCCAGCCTCCAAAAGCTTTTGGGTGTGAAGCCGCCTCGTCGGCCTGTTGCCCGACTGCCCGATAACACTCAGGGTCTCGCCGCACGGCACACGAAACGAAAACGAAACGAGTGCATCTGCCCAACAAAGGTGGCAAAATACACTGGTTACTATTGACAGCAAACAGATGAACCTGGCCATTTTCTGGGGGAAGATACATTCGTTTCGTTTTTCGTTTCGTGTGCCGTGCGGCGAGACCCTCACACTCGTTTCCCTAGCGAAATCTCTGATAAAATACTGAAAACGCACGGGAAAGAAAAGGAGCCCCCAAATCTGCAATTCCTCCCTCCAATTTTTCCACGCAATTGTGCCCTCGACTCCTTATCTGCAGCTGACTCCTGATCTTGCCTCTCCCGCATTTTGTCCGTACAGCTCCAGGTTGGTAAATGGGATGAGTGCTAGTATCACAGCATGCCTGAAGCACAGAACCAAAACAGAGCATCAACCAACAGCACGCGTCGCTGTCAGTCAGTCTCTCTCTCTCTCTCTCTCTCTCTCTCTCTCTCTCTCTCTCTCTCTCTCTCT